CACACACACTAGCGCTTGTAGAGAATTGGATTGCTTAAGAGCAATCAAATGGATGCAACAGAACGGATATTTGATGTGAATGCACTCACTCGGAAGCAGTAGCTGGTTTCTTCACCGTCCCAAATTGTCCTCGGTAATGGAAATTTCCTTCGGATACGATACTTTCCAACCGCTCCCAGCTCACGTCCACGAATTTTCTCAGCCTAAATGAGCATCACAAAACTGATCAAATTTCATCTCGGAAGCAACTAAACCACTACACTTTCGCTTTTCATTATTACTACTGCTAGTTGTTCAATGAACACAGCACTTTCCTTTTCGAGTAATATTTGCAAGCTGCAGAAACCATAATTTTCATATTCATTTTAACTATTCCATTGAGCCAAATGCTTGCTCACACTCAAAAAATTGACTTGTTTGCTGGATAGCGATTAAAATTTCGTCCAGTAGAGCATGCTGCCTTATTGAGGTAGCTGCGACAATGACAAGTAATCTGCACTGATCGAAATTCAATGAAAGAAACGATTTCTTAAGCTTTCGAATATGACTGGGTACGATGAAAGGATGATACAGACAATAAGAAATGAAACAAGCACTGGTGCTCAGTGTCGTGGATGAGACAAATTCTCCCGAATTCAGTTACTTTGATTCCTGCTTACAGGAATTCTAAGATAATGTCGGAAAGATCCAATCAATTCAGGCCGGAAATTGACGATAACGAATGATTTTCTTGAGCAGAACAATTATTCCAAGCGTCTAAATTGACTGGAAATTTTCGATTGAAAGTGCTCTCAGTCATTCGCATTCATGAGTCATGCGTATTGATTCAATGGCATGTGTATACTGTAACGAATAAATAAGCAAATGCGTTTATTTGCCAAGTAAAAGCACCTCTGAGTAGTGCGCCCGAAGCCATAAGTCCTGTAGTTCAGCATGATTTTCTGGTGAGAATTGATTTGTTTCCAGTATACGATAGAGTTCTTTGAAGTTTTGACGATGAAAACAGATGAAGGCTTGCGCTTTCAAGACGCTCTCGTTACGCCTGAAGTCCTCACGATTTGGAATCGCCCAAATAAATTTGGCCTGCAAATTCTGTCACCAAAATTATTTTGGAAGTCAACAAAACAGCAGCAGTGAATTTGTCAGTTTTTAAGCAGCCTCTCTCCCAGCTATCTTCCAGAAATAAAAATCACTTGTTTAACGATAATGAACTACTTATATCCAGCATGTATGGCTAGCGAAGTGATCGCATTGATTGAAAGCATTTCTAGTAGTTCGGAATCACGAAAAGATTTTTCGCGATTCCGGAATATTGGGAATGT